TTTCTTCGCAAATATTCAGTTATAATTTTGTAAAAAATTATAATTTAATAAAATGCCTGGATTACAAATCTTCAAATCTATTAAATATATATATATACATATATATATATATATATATATATATATATATATATATATATATATATATATATATATATATATATATATATATATATATATATATATATATGTACAACATATATATATATATACATATATATATATATATATCGAAGTATCAAGCGAGACCCATGCACTCTAGCACTAGAATTTAGTACTCTCCAAACTTCCCAAGTGCTCAGTAATTCGACTATAAAATTTAATGAAAAGACATTTCTCAAGAAATATTATAAGGATAATTGTTAAATGTGATGTTTATTGACAGTTCCTTCTTGTTGTTTTGCATTGCAGTCGAAAAATGGATAAATCGTTATCCAGCGAATACATTTTATCCCGAATGAAAATCGCGTTGTACGAAGCTTGGACAGCGTTATCCAACCGACAAAAATGCACTATTATATGCATTGGTTAAATTAAATTTATATATACCGTTTAGAAGTCATTTTTTAACAATAAATCAATATGGAAAGCTTATTTGTGAACTTTGTTGAGATACACCGAGCACACCAACGCAGCCCATTGTCAGTGCTTAAAAATATTCTGGCTGTTCTCTATACTTCTCTTTTATTATGTAATTTGAAAACAAGCAATGATTGAATGAAATATGCATCAAAATAGACAGCAAGACCCCGAAAGTCGAAAATATTTTGTTCGCTATAGCTTATAATAATTCATTTGATCATCCAATCAAAACTTGGATGAAATTTTTTTAAAAATTGTTTCGAATAAAGTGCAAGGTCAAGGAACAAATATTATTCGGACAGCATGTTAATGAAACTGAAACAAGACAAATCTTTCAAAGAAATATCGACAAGCGGATACGAAACACTTCGCTGTGGAAAAAATGAAGTATATACATGCAGGGTGTCTAAAAAAAACGTTATGGAAATTCAACAGGTTGTCATGCGTCATAAATTTTGCTAAATAATTCAATTTTTACATAGGATGAAAGAGCTGTTATTTAGCTTTTCTATGACACCTTTTTTAAATCGCAACGCTGAGAAATGGCCACCTACTCGACAGATAAATATTGCCGGTCAAAATCACATTCTTCCACCGTTGGGTATTGAAAATACGTTAATTATGCAAAGCAAATCAATCCAAAAGCAACGCGAGTCTGCTGCAAGTTATTTCTTTCGCAAAACGTTTTGGTTATACGAATGTTCTCTGTTCAGTGGTTAATTGAACCATGTTTAATGACGTTCTTATTGGGAGCCACATGAATCGTCAGCCAATCACCTTGCATAATTCACTAATGAGAGCGAGGCTCCAAGACCAAAAAGTATGTGTGACGTAATTATCGAAAGGGTGTATTCCGTCTTGGGAATTTTCTATGTTTCATTTGCCATGCAATTCCCAACGGTGGAAGAATGTGATTTTGAGCGGCAATTTTTATTTGATGAGCCGTATGTGGCCATTCCCAGGGCCGTAGCTAGACCGATAATTGGGGGGGGGGTGTATATTCATATATTCGCGTTCTGCCCGACAGATTTCTTTTGAAAGCGATTGTGTTTACGGGATGCGAACATGAATATGAATGCATGCCACCAATTATCTTGTCTAGCTACGGCCCTGGCCATTTCTCATCATTACGATTTAAAAAGAGTATCATTGAAAAGCTAAATAACCTTTCTTTCGTCCTATGTAAAAATTGAATTGTTTGGCCGCGTTTATGATGCACGACAGCCTGTTGACTTTCCATTGCGTTTTTTTTTTTTTTTGTTTTCTTTTTAAGACACCGTGTATAATGCATAATTGCAAATAAGCATGAAAAAAACTTTATTGCAAGTACTATATACAGTAGTTGACAGTTCAAAGCTTACTGGAATTCACAAGTTATACAAAGGTGCTACCAATTAAATTCCTATAGCAACAGTTGACGTAGTGATAAAACATTTACATGATTATCTGGTTTTCTCAATTCTCCCGTTAAAATTAAGGTTATCCTACACTCTAAAAACACTCTGGTTAAATTCAACCAGGAACTGGATCAATAAACTACCTAGCACATTCCTGGTTAAATTAACTGATTTCCTGGTTAAAAATTATTGATTCAACAAAAATCTGGCCATACTTCTTTGGACTTTTAACCAGGAAAATGGTTTAATTTTTTTAACCAGGATTGTGTAGGTGTATTTTTAACCCCATCCTGGTTGAATTAACCCAAATTTAAGTGTTTTTAGAGTGTATACGGACAGCTATCCACTCTGCAATACACTAGCAACCACTCTATCCGTACTTCGTACAACGCATGTATTTTCCCGGTACATAACGGCAAATCATGTCAACCGTAATACAGTATGTCACGTGCAGTGCCCCCACTGGCAGTGGCTTTAAAGTAAACCTGATAAAAACCTCCTATAATTAGTATTCTTTAATAAAGAATACTAATAAGGCAGTATTTATTGTAGTCCTGTCCTCATTAGTATTCTTTATATAAAGATACTACAAAGGCAGTATCTATTGAATTTGTAGTCGTGTTTGAAGCCGTTTAATAAATTCGTAGGTCGTGTCTAATGATTAGGTCTAAAGCCACTCGCGCTGCGCCCTCGTGACTTTAAACCTAATAAAACACTCCTGCTCGTTTATTAAACAGTACTTTAACGTAGCCAGGATCCACTTTACAAGATATGCTGTTCTCCAATTCATTTTCTGAAAATTTATTCCTAAACCTGACAATATAGAAAGTTTAATATTAAACTTTATATGAATACATCAGTTATACAATATATAGTAACATGTACAGTATAGTAAAGGCATGTTGAAATATCCGGGAAAAATATAATAAATTTATGCTTGTTAGTAAGATGTACAGTAACATGCATATATACAGTAACATATAGTAATTCGTCTTATATATCATAATACGGTTTAATACAGTGGTCATTACAATCTGTTGTATACTCTCACTTTGGCTATTTCGGTTGACGGAAATATGTAGATTTTGAAAATCGCTATTAAAATCAATTTAGCTTCTGAGAATTTTGCGCAGAAATTCGCTTTAAATATATTACATGCTACATAGGCCGTGGTCGTTTATAATATCTTAAAATGCTTATAAGACTTATAAGCTCAAGAGTAGACACGAAAGTGTCATTAATTACTACCGAAGAGATTGTAGTAATTTCTCGTAAACGCCTACAACAACACCTGAAAAATTAGGCTACATTTTTAACTTTCAAACAGCCAATATAATTATTTATAGTAATTGTTGTTACTCAGTACCAGATTGGCTGTCTAAAATTAGAATAAGTTTTAAGCAAGCAAAACTATGCACCAGACGTCGCCGTAGACTTTTGTGGAAGCTGGGGGAGGACGCATGGACAGCAAGCACGATAGGAAATTTTGATGCTAGCTGTATCTGACACAGTTCGATGAGGTCCTTGATCCTATGAATGGTATATAAAGAATGGCTCATAAATATTCACAACATGTAAAATAATTAGTCGCATCTAATAATTAGACTAGTATTCCAAAGGTCGTAGGCTCGATTCCCACCGTGGCTGGCATATTTTCAAGCTCGCCCGGTGTGTATATACACTCAGAGTAACATCACAAACATCATATTCACCTGAGTACACAACACCAACACAGAAAAAGTCATATTACTAGATTACATTGGTATCGAAGGAACTAGATGCTGTTCCGAAATATCACTTACTCGAACCGACCTGACCGCGTAGCTCAGTTGGCAGAGCATTGAGCTAGTATTCCAAATGTCGTAGGTTCGATTCTCACGTGGCTGGGCATATTTTTCAAGCTCGCCCGGTGTGGATATACACTTAGAGTAACATCACAAACATCATATTCACCTGACAAACACTCGTTCTTCAGAATTGCAATGAGTAAATAAATGTGGATTTGTAAACCATGACCATATTGTCCATGCTCAATTTTTGTTTTAATTTTAGACAATCATGGAAATAATATCAGTGGAAATAATATCAGTAGACTCTTTTATCTGCGCATTTGGATTTATTGTTAGGAGGCTAGAAATGCATGTGTTTGTAGTTAGTGGAATTTCTAACCAATTACAAACTCATCAGACCATATTCTTTTGAATTTTATCGGTTCTTAACTCCTCCGTAATAACCTTCAATCTAAAAGCAGGCGGTGGTATTTGATTTCTCATGGGGAATTACGGGGTTGAAGGTTATTACGAAAAAATAATAACCGGGCACCAGGTTATTATTTTTCCGTAATAATCTGGTAACCACGGTTATTATTTTTTCGTAATAACCTGGCACCCGGTTATTACGAAATAATAATAACCGGTAACCCAGTTTTACATTTTCAATTCAAGACCTGGCATGTGTCTTGAATTCGGCACTTGAATTTCCAGGAAAACTCAAGACCCATGCACATCTCCTTTTCGACTAGAAAACGCTGCACGTCTCTAAGTCGAGAAAGAGACAATTATTTTACACTCATTTCACATGCATTAGATTACGTTAAAATATTTACATTAGGTCACACAAATATTGACCTCTAGATCAAAGTTCGTATTATACCGTTTATAACACACGCTACAACATTGTTTATACACCATTTTAATTCAAAGTTTTCCGTGTCCATTGATACACTGTTCTGTTTCCAATCGATTTCGCACGTAATTCTTAAAATACACAAGACTGTTAATTTTCTCATTCTTCCTGAATTGATGTGACACTCGTTCTTTCCACGCGGAAAGTTTTCCAACACTGATTAAGTAACGCAGAAGGTCTCGTGTTATTGTTCGCGGGAAACAACCCAACAACATATTCCGTTCTGAAAGACCAAGGACCGATGCATCAATTCGATTGCACTATTTCAAAATGAACATCCACATCTCCTTTACCACTGGACAGTGAATCAACGTGTGTTCTAATGTTTCCACTCTTTCACCACACCGTGCACATGCTGCAGGATATTCGTGAATACCATTTATGCACTCTGAAATTGACAGGTAAAACCCGATGTACCGTGCGCCAATCAAAATCACGTAACACTGGATCATTGAAACTTCGAGCGACATCCTTCCAAATCTCTTTCCAGATTAAACCAAGACCAAATCTTTGATTCAAAGCCAACTCGATTCTTGCTTGTACCGGGGTAACGCAATCTTCAATACGTTTTAGGTAATACATTTTGCTCGTGCAAGGTTGTCCCGAATCAACAGCAAATTCTCTCAGAACACGAAGAAGATGACTATAAAACGGAGTTGGAATGTCACTATTTGGTCTCGAGTTATCGTTTATGCCTAAAGCCCGTCCGATGTAATAACGCATGAAATCTTTCCAAGGTGCCTCACTCTCTTCAAGAAATCGGAAGACACGACCGAACAACAATGCTTTACTTTTGATGTCAAGATTAATAATTCGCAGACCCCCATTCAAATAGTCCGACAAACACGTTTCCCGACGCACCCACTCCGGTTTCTTTGACCAAACGAATTTCCAAATTTCCGATTGTAGCGAGTCAATACATTCACTCGTTAGCGGGTATATCTTTACCACATGCCAAAGCGTCGAAGCCACCAAACTCCCGATCACCGTCATTTTCCCTCGTAACGTCAGATACCGCGGTTCCTATTTTTTCAATATTCCCTTGAATTTGGCCGTAACTTCTTCCCATGATTGGATTTTTGCATTTTCGGAACCAAAGTAAATACCAACAATTTTCAGGCTCGTGTTAACCCACGTTACACCACAGGGTGAATCAGTACGAGAACGCCACCTACCGAGCCAAAGACCCTTTGATTTCGTTGAATCAGGCCTCGCTCCGGATGCTCGACCATATTCATTAAAGACATCAATGACTTTAACAAGACCATATGAATTAGCAACAATTCAGGTGTTGTCATCAGCATATTGTGATATTTTCACTTGCTTCCCTTCAGGCACACGAAATCCCTGTATTTCTGGGCACTTTCGAATGGCTTGTCCAAACACTTCCGCCACCATAACAAACAACAATGGAGATAGCGGTCACCTTGTCGTACACCTTGTTGCACGTGAAAAAACTCTGAAACATAACCATTGGATATTATAGTTCTCCGAAGGTCATGATAAATACTTTTAATGTAGGATAAAAATTGTGGACCAAAATTCATAGTTCCTAAAATTCTGACTAAAAAGTGCCACTCAACATAATCAAACGCTTTTTCTTGACCAATCGATATAAAGGCACAGGCCATTCGTTTATTAACTTCCAGATAGTCACATATGTCTCGTAGGAGAGTCGCATTATCTTCACTCGAACGCCCAGGTACAGAACAGCATTGATCCGGGTGAATTATCGTGGGCATAACAGGTTTAACACGATTTACCGGAACTTTCGTAATAATCTTGCAATCTGTATTGAGGAGCGAGTTTGGGCGCCAATTTTTCAATAATTCAGGATCTTCTATCTTAAAAAACAGTGATATTAATGCCTGGCCCATAGACTCAGGCATCAGTTCAACTGAAAAATAATAATTTGCCATTTCAACAAAGTCTTCTTTAAGCAGGTCCCAAAAGGTCAAATAAAATTCTTTCGGTAGACCGTCTGAACTCGGTGTTTTGCCATATGCCATAGACTTTACTTCCACCAAACAGTCACCCACCGTTAACTGCCCCTCACATGAATCGCGTTGCTCATCTGTTAGTTTCTTGTCAAGTAAATTTAGTATCCGATCTTGCGCAACTTTGTCTGTCGGTACTTTTGAATAAAGTTCCTTATAAAACCGAACCTGTTCCTTTGAGATATCATCCTGCTCAGTCACTCTTCGTCCATCACTCGTGCGTAGAGCATGACACGTTTTCTTAACGGCTCTTCTTTTCTCCTTTTGGAAGAAAAAGCGCGATGGCTGTTCGTTTAATTCGAGCCATTTTGCTCCACTTCGGATCTTGTTTCCTTGGATATAAATCCATAGTTTCCAATTGGGACTTAACTATGTCTAGTTCTTTAACTTCATCCTCCGATAAGTTTGTTTTACACACAATACGACGATAGCGATTTAGTACGGTCGAACGTTCTTGCTTGCGCATTCGAGATTCTTTTTGACTATACTTGAGCTAGAAGAAGAGATTTAACTCTTAACTTGCCAGAGTCCCACCATTCAGATACATTACCAAAATCACGTTTCCGATCTTTCCAATGGTCCCCAAATGAAGCAATTTGCTCACGAACTTCTCGCACTTTTAATAATGAGACATTTAACTTCCACACACCGGGACCAACATTACTACTAGCCTGCGAACAGGCTCTCAAGCTGAATTGAGAGCCTGCATCGATGACTAGTGAATTTGAATATCTGCCCCGTAACGTTCGTTTTTCCAAATATGGAATGTCTATCCTTATATGGTGTTGTTTACAACTTTCGTGCAAACTAAATTTAGACCGTGCAAACTAAATTTAGACGTACAGTTTATACTGTTTTCCGAAATATAAGATATTCAAGCAAAAGTTCAAATGTTTTAAATACTGTTTTCTCAAAACAAAACATTTCGTGCTTTGAGATAAGACGGCCAAGACCAATTTGAGCAGTTAATGTGTTTTTTATGCATAGTGCTTCAGCAGTTGACATATATAGAGCTCAGCGGAAACATATAAATTATAGCATCTGACCAATGAGAATTTCGCGTCACAATTTGAGACGTAGATATTCAAATTCATTAGTCATCGATGCAGGCTCTCAATTCAGCTTGAGAGCCTGTTCGCAGGCTACATTACTACTAGCTTTGTCTACCGTTAACAAGACGCCTCTGATGCCGCCTGGATCCTTAAAACTTGTCGATTTCATACGGTCCATATCTTCATCACTCGGCTGGGAGACGTCGCTACCGTTTTCATCACGACCGATATCGTTACTCAAATTACTTCCCGACGTTTCATCATCTCTGTCATTGGACACGTCACGTTGATTCTCTAGACAATTTGCCCTAACGTGCCCAAACTGGCCACATAGCAAAAACTTGAATCAGTGACGTTGTATATGACCATTTTGACCACACTTGAAACACTTTACATCATTCGAACACGTGGCAACACGATGTCCATATTCGCCACATTGGCCACATAAAGGTACTTGCCCACGATATCTAGTTTCTATCGGATAAGGGCCAACAAAGAGACGACGGGGAATCCCCTCAGTTAATTCACTCATTGTTGCCAGTCGTACACCAGTTTCGACATTAGGCCAATCACGATACATTTCCCGTTCCACCTTCACTATTTTGCCATACTTCGCCAACGTTGCAGCTATCGTTTGATTAGAAATTTTATTAGGGGCATATAAAACTTTAACCAGAAACTTGGGCATACCAAGTTCTTGAGCAATAACTCGTTCACCCCGCAAATGAAACGGCTGATCTAAAAATAATTGTTTATATTCCAACGAGCGAAAAGTCAAAAGATACCGAGGCCCAGGAACTTGTTGCACACATTTAATTTTATCTTGTCTCACACATTTTAAAACTGCATCCATGACCGCATCACGCACTGTAATATCCTTAAACGGCTGGGTATGCAACACAACAAAGTTGGGTCTAGCAACCCTAGCTCCAAACCGAGCATGTGGTAACGGTACAGCGCCTTTCGCTCATTCTGCGAACCGACAATATCTGCCCACGATCTTCCAGCCGTTTGTATTTCTTCCCCCGCTCTTTCAATCACAATTTCCTGGCTCCGTTCGCCACCCTCAGCTCCGCTTTCGTCACCGCCAGGACTTCGCCTTTCGTCGCCAGGGTTTCGCACTTCGCCGCCAGGTCCTCCTTCGTCGTCTCCAACCTTCCTTACTTCGTCACCAACTCTTCCTTCTTCCTCACAAACTTTTATATCCATTCCTCGTTCTTCTGCACCAATTCTTCGTCCGTCCATTATTTAAATGTAGAATATATATAATTCGGCGCACGAGGACTACCTGGATCAACCATCAAACTTGCTTATGCAGGGAATTTATACTGCAATATCTGCTTTTTCGCTTGTGAGACGTGAGATGATATACTGCACATGATTAATCACATTTTAAAGCGTATTAATGCGCATGTTATACCTTATTTCGTCCAACAACTGCAACGACCTCTCATTAAATTGATATAGCTTGAATATTTAATGAAGAATACCTCCAAAATACAAAAGAATATGGTCTGAAGAGTATATAAACAAGCTAAAAGGCACGGGTATCGGTTTTTATTAAACTATAAAGACCTCGGGCCTTTGGTCTTCACAGTTTAATAAAAACCTCTCCCTTGGCTTTTAACCTTTATTTAGAAACCTTGTCAGTTATACAGGATGTATAAAAAATGAACAGATTTGAAATTGCTCTCAATTTCGCAAAACAGCTATTGCTATTAGTATCCAGTTTCTGATATATATATATGAATATATATATATATAACTTCCCCTCAGGGCCGTATATATATATATATATATATATATATATATATATATATATATATATATATATATATATATATATATATATATATATATAT